AATTGCAGCAATTATGCACTCCTTCATCTTATAGTCTGATTTTTAGAAGTTATTAGAAGAATATTAATCATTTGTTAATGGGAGATGGATGATGACTAGGGTCTTGACTGTCTCTGAAACAAAGTTGTCCAGATCTAAATGAGAAAAAAGATGAAAGGCACAATGTCAATGGTGTCAAGTGTGCCAGAGATGAGAAAGTAAGGGTTTATAAATGTAAAAGGAGCCAGTGAGTGACATCAGACCATGGAAATGATTATTTCTGATCATTTATGTGAGGTGGAGAAATCTGTCACAATTTCTTATTGTTGTCACTAGTCTATGTCAGTGTGGAACAACAACATAAATCTCGGATAAAAAGTAAAGCAATTTATTGTTCAGTCACATAAAAGAAACAAGACCAGATTTTTCAGTTTTTAATCTACATTTGTCATCATTCGTTGTGGTTGATCTAAATTAGCTCTCAAATATTTTATTTAAGGGATTGTTACTAATCTTCAGTTATTTGGCATTTTGAAATATATATAAGTTGTTTAATTTTTTATATCATTTTCCTATAAATTATTTAAATCAAAATGTAATGGTATCTGTGCTTCTAGAAACATATACTGTACTTTCTCCACTAGATGTCTCCAGAGAAATACAAGTAAATACTGTTAAGAAATGCTGCTAAATAAGCACCCAGTTTAAAAATTTCAGAAGTGTTCAGTTCAGTTAGGGACAATAGTTACACTGATTACTTAATATTAAAGTGAGACTTTTCAGTTGATAGGCTTTTAAAGGATATGAGAATCTAAATTTAAACAAGAAAGATGGCATGTTACCCATATTTTCCACAGAAAACCTTCTATATACTTCCAAAAGAATTAACATTAAAGAGACATCATATATTGTTTACTTGGGGGGCAAATTAGTCATCTCTTTTCCTGAATATGATTTCTTACCTTTCATATATCATGGATTTTCTCCATTGGAAATATATTCGGAGTATGGCTTCGGAGGTACCACTTCTTGTAGGTTTTACACTTTGTCAGCCACAAATATCTGAGCCTATATATGGCCCTTTTGACTTCTTTAAGTCCAGGTGTTGATTTTCAATTTTATTTTAGCTAATATTTTATTTTTTATTAAAGATTGTATTTATTTATTTGACAGAGAGAGAGAGAGAGCAAGCACAAGCCGGGGGAGTGTCAGGAAGAGGGAAAAGGAGAAGCAGGCTTCCTGCTGAGCAAGGACCCCCCCCATAAGGGCTCCATCCCAGGACCCTGGGATCATGACCTGAGCCAAAGGAAGATGCTTAACCAAACCAGGTGCCCTACATATTTATAATATTTATATATATATTTATAATATTAGCTAATATTATAAAGAGGTAGGAAAAAAATCACAAAATTTTATTTTTGCTTAATTTGAATTCCTTTTACTGTTGGCTTTCCCTCACTTAAAGGAAACAAAGATCACTGGGCATTTGTTAGACTTCAGTTTATAGGGCTGCAAACCCAAGTACCAAAAAATGCTAAGACCTTCACTGGGCAAGCACTTGGACACTGAGACATGCTGCCTCAATGAATGTGTGGCACTAACTTCAAGGCCTTGTCATGTTTTATAACCAAGTTCTATTGTTTATAGTTTACAAATAGGCCAGTAAGAAAGTAGAATGATACTCAAGAAAGGTTTTCAAGATCCCACAGACCATTTGTTAAAAAGCAGGAGTTCAGACATAACTTGGGGCACGTGACTACTTTGGATCATTCAAAACCAAGGAAATGCCTTTTAAAAAATCTACTCTTGGCTTGGGTATCCAGGCTTGTTGAATCCATAGACAATGTCCAATCCTAGAGAGTGTAGGTCATGTTGGTTACATGCGAGGGAGAGTAAGCATGATATTACAATGACTTCACAGTCTCCAGAGGCTACAAGTCTTGCTGCAAAGATCCACTGGATAATTTGCAAACTGCCCATAAATTAGCATCCTGATAGCTAGAAACAAATGTCTTTGTCTTTCAGACACATTATTTTTCTTTGGTTGCATAATAAGCCATTTCCTTTTCATTAATGACTTACATTTCCAGGTCAGACTTTACAACCCTGAAGGTCAGATTCAATTGCCAAGATTTCAATCCTCCTCAAAACTGCTAATAAAGTTACGTAGCCAACCCAGGGGCAGTATGCTTTCATGAAGCAGGAGAATAAGGGCCTTGTGTGGGGAGAAAGAATTAGAGATTGACCCCTGCTGAGTGCTCTGAAAAGGGAGAATGGTGTCCTTCTCAAGCTTTTTCTCTCTTTTCCACTTCTTAGACTACCTTCTCTTCCATTCTCTGAAACTATTTTCTTCCCTCACCCTACCCTGCCCAACAGACATGGACTATGTTCAATTATCAGCCTCCTAGAAGCTAGGATCATGGTTAAAGCAGTTGTTTGGACTTTCGACCACTCCATAATACCATACAATATCACACTTCCAGGCTGAGCTTGGCTTTTTCAGTCACAGTGCTTTGATGTTTTTATATTTACCTTAAAGTTGTCCCTCTCTTGGAATGCTCTCCAACCTCTAAGTTTACATGTAGTTTATATGTACAGTCTGGTCCTCATTTTCAAGATCTTCCTTGACGGCATTACTCATCTTAAGTGTAAATATTTACCAAGGGCTAGCATTTGTTGACTTCCATGGGACTTATACATTTCCAATGTGATGCTCAGGATGGGTAGATTTAAGACTCTATTATTGAAACTGAAAAAACCAAAGATTTCAGAAACTTTTTAGTATATGAGCAAATACCATGCTTTTTATAAAAAGTAAACCTGTATCTCCAGCCAGGAAGGAGTAGTCCTCTTTTGAAATATGAATGTGTATTCATTTTTCTTACTCATCTCATGCAATTATTTGTCCATCTAGACCATTGAAGGAATCAGTGGTCTACGTGAAAGGACGCCACTGATTCCAATGGTCACAAGGAAAAACTAGAGCAAAATTGATCTTAAAAATAATCAATTTATTTTCAATATACTGCAGACACTATGAAGAAAGTAGGTTACATGATAGGAAATTATTGATACTGCCTTCACCTCTGTACTTATAATCAAGTCTGTTTGTCATCATTTGGGATTCTGTTTGAAGACATCTTTCACCCTTGATACACATGATCCAAGTCTGTATCTCTTTCTCTCAATACCTCAATCCTTCCTCTCCAATCAAACCCCATTGGATTTAAGCAGATTTCAACTTCATTCCAGAAAAGCTTATAAATAGTTGTAGCTGTCTAATAGGAAATGGGTTGCATTAATAACAGTGAGCATCCCAGTAAAGAATGAATGACCATTTATAATGGTGTTGTCAGAGAAATCTCTGTATTATAAATTTAATTCATCATTCTATAATTCCGAAATTCCATTATTATGTCTTAGAGGATACATAATCTACATTATAATATCTAAACAGGCTAGTATTGAAGACTTTTATATAACTATGTTACCAAGAATATTCTAACAGCTAATTTACTGGTATTAAGAAGGACTTTTCATAAAACAGTTTTTCCATCCTACTCAATAAACAATTACTGACCCCCTAATAATTTATGCATGTAAGAATAATAGAAACTTATAACATAAAGCAAACCAGTAACACACCGATGCAGTTAGAATAATTCCATTCAAAGTTATATAAATGTTAGATGAATCTTCTTCCTGCAAGGGACCAGGGACAGAATTTACTTTACCTTTTATGCCTTCTTCTTTCCAGTTCTCCTTTTGAATTGCTCTTTCATTTTCTACACCGTAATACCAAGATTTTCAAATTGAAAGCAGGCCTCTGAATCATATTTCAGAATGTTGTCTAATTGTATGCTTTCTTAATAAACTAGCTGCCAGTTGCGGAATTATTTTGGTGCCTCAAAGCAAAATTCTATAGCCAAGTTTGATGTAACTCTCTTGATACCTGGAATCACCTCGGGCCCATCCAGCCTCCCCTAAAAGACTTTGCAATTGGAAAACATGGTGAGGCAGTATCAAATTTCTTTATATTGCCAGTGGAGCAACAATACCAATGTGCCATGATGGAAGGAACACTTTGCAACAAGACATATTGGAATTACACTTTTACTTTAAGATAGTGTGCAATTTATGTATTCAAGAAGATTCATTGCAGGTTTCGGTTCAGCTTATGGTTGACATCTGACATTTGGATTTTTTTAATCCGGTGTTTTGAACGTTTGACATACCATGTGTGAAGGGGTAAGAGCGCATATTCCCTTGGATTAGAATCTCATGGTGTAACATTAAAAGACTTCAGTTATTCTTGATAAAAATCAGAGGAAGATTTCTGGCAATGCTCTTGTTTCTTAATATGTCTTTAATCTATTACAGCTAGATTAGTAATACTTGTTTCCAATAGGGGCTACTTTTGTCCAGTGGTTATCAGATGTGCTGCCTAGACAAGTTCATCATCATGTGAAGCGTGTAATGAAAAAACAATAAAGCACAAATGGTTTTCTTTTCTGCTTCATTTCAAGAGTTAGAAAAACTTGGCAGAATTAGATTTATGTTAACTCTATCCATTCCTTGATATTTGAAAAGAGAAGTGAAATGGAAATATCTCCCTTGTTTAGTAGTATTGCAAGGAACATGTGGTCTCTCCTGTATTTTTCATCAGCAATCAGAGTTATTTCATATTTTGTACAAGTTTTAAATGTATCCAACATCTGTTTTTAATCAAGAGCCACTACTGCCTTATGATTATTGAACTTACATCTACATTTGCTTTCTGGTGAAAAATAATAACCCTTCAGTTCTGAGGTGAACTAAATGTGAGTGATGTGATAAGATCAAACCATGATCTCATTGAGCACAGGAACATATATTCTGTAAGGGATGGATTGCAGAATAGTCCTTCAAACCCAAACAAAACCATTTTCCATAAACCCCTCCAAAGTGCAAAGGAATAAAACTATAATAGGAACAGGCAAAGAGTCAGTTATTAAAGGGGAATATAAATAATTTAACAATAAAAATAAATATCTTCTTCAGAATGAAATATAAAAGAGGCTCAATGTGTTCAGTAAACATCACTAGGAAAAGTGGACACTAGCTTCCAACTTGAAGTTGCTGATGTTTTTTGGAGAGAGCTCAGATTCCCAGGTTATTCAGTGCTCCCTCCCACAGACTCTGACATGTATATAAACTCTGAGCTCTCCAAAGCCCACTGCCAGTTCTCTTCGTGGACTAACTGCAGCGGAGAGACAAAAGATGATTCCCTTCTTACCTATATTTTCTCTCCTCTTGCTGGTTGTTGTTAACCCTGCAAACGCCAATGGCCATTATGACAAGATTTTGGCTCATAGCCGAATCAGGGGCCGGGATCAGGGGTAAGTCAGTGGTTAGGTTTTATAAATGTTTTCTTTTTTTTTTTACTTAGCTTGTTATATGTGTAAGTATCTTTAAAGTTCCTTAAATACACTGAGGTCTTTTTTTCTTTCTACTTATTAAAAAGTAGTATGAAAAAGGAAAAAAAAGGAGTATTCTGCGATTTATAGATGTTTATAGTTTAAATTTTAAACTTTAAAAATTACTGTCAAAATAATTTGCATGTAATTGCTTTTTTGTAGCATTATATAATTTTAACCTAATTGACTACATTTAACAGGCATTTCTTTATTATTATATTTATTTGTATTTTTATTTCCTTCCGAAAACCTGAAATGAGATTTCCAAAATAAAAATATATGACTAGGGCTTTCATTATGTGAACAGCTTTGAAATATTTCACATGCTGTTAAGGAAATTTTCATTTAAGTTATGTATGAAAATTTAAAAATGATTAATGTAACTAGTTCTTTGACTATTTTAAAGCATTTAAGAATGCTTTTAAATTCTGCATTCTGCAAAATTTGCAAACATATTTCTTGGAATAAATTTAACTACAACTTAGCATTTTTAAAGTTAATAGGAATAATTTAGTAATTTAACCAACCATTTATGATTTTTTTTAAATGGATCTTGGCATTTCTTCTAATGTCTCAGAGGAATTTTCACATTGCTCAAAAGTTCCTTTGCTTTACAGTGCAAATAAGACTTCCTATCTCTTTAAGAGAGAAAGACTCTTAAAATTCTGGCAGAGGATGTTCTGATCTACTATTTCCACTCAAAGAAATAGATTTTCCTTTGTGCAGCCATATTATTCAGTTAATTGTAGCACTCATTTCTTCTGTGATTGCATACCTAGAAAATTACAGCATATTTTGTCTTTGGACCTAGTAAAAACTGTCTTTTCCTCTCTTGGTTCCTCATTGTTCCAGAGTCCGTTGTTCCAGATTAGAGACCAAAATGAGCATGTTTGGTTTAAAAAGGGTCAGTTAGATTGGCTTACTATAAAAGTAATATGAATGAAAGCAAAATTAAGTTGAACTTAATGCTGCTTGAATATTCCTACTAGATTAAATTTTGAAACACTGGTGTTTGGATATATAATTTCCTCTCTATTTTTCTCTCCCATAGACTTTAGTTTTTCTGATGAATCAGTATGCTTGGATGAAGAAGTAGATTTGTGTAAGACTAGAATCACATGTTTCAAAATTGAGTCCACATGCTAATTTTTTTCTGAACCATCTGACATGAAGATATGAAAAAGTCATTGTCATTAGGACATTAACTTTCTTCTCTTCCCTGTATTCTAGCCCAAATGTCTGCGCCCTTCAACAGATTTTAGGCACCAAAAAGAAATACTTCAGCACTTGTAGGAATTGGTACCAAGGTGCCATCTGTGGAAAGAAAACGTAAGTCTCATCTTTTCCCTAATGCACCAGTCCCAGAGATGTCTATTTCTGTCCTTGGACATATACACCATTTTACTTGAAAAAATTCTCCCAAGTTGCAAGCTTTAAAACAAAAACTGGATCATAAACGTGAATAAAGAAATTCTCTCTGTATTTCTACCTCTGCTAGTGGACCTCTCATGAGCCCTGAATTTATGTGTCATGGAGGTCCAAAGGAAAAAAATCACATGGTGATGTATAGAATCAGTGTGATACCATGGCATTTCTACCCTTGGTATGGCCCTTTTTTGGACAAGACACTTAATCTCTATGCTTCATTTTATAAAAATGGTTACCTCAGTTTCCTCATTTTATTAAAAAAAAAAAAAGAGCCAGAAGAACAAATTGATCTCAAATATCAGGATTTTTGAAGCGCTAATTAATGTTCACCTACATCTATTTGGAAATTATCTGAAATACTCCAGTTTACCTCAAAATTTTCATCAAAGCTTGAATTTGGAAAGAATTTAAGCTTCATCTCTTCATTTAATCCAGTTACTTCATCCCAAACTACCAGATCCACAGGGGCCCAACAGGTGTAAAACTTGTCATTACATATACTATTTCAGTAGCCAGAAAGACAATTACTCTTTATTTAGATATGTATTTCACTGATTAACTTAAAATCAGAAAATATTTTCATTACTTGTAAGAAATGTGTATTGGTTTAATCAATCAATAAGTGTTGGTAGGAAATTACAATCGTGGGCAAATAAAAGTTGAGAATTACTCATGTGGTCCAAGTTCTTCATTTTAAAGTGAAAGATCTGAGTCATAGAGTAAGTTACTGTATTAGAAAAATTAGAGATACCATTGCTGGTTAAAAAAGCAGTGCTTCCCATTGATTTGGACTCCACTTTCAACAAAAGAGGACTTGAGAAACAAATATCTGAATGAGAATCTGCTTACTACATCATCATTAAACTTCATTACCCTAAATAGGTGGAAGGATTGGGGGATTATTAAAAACTTATTCCTAACTTAAAAATGCTGGTACAAATACTAAACACAGCATCACTTAACTTCTTGGAGCTTTCATTTCTTTACCTGTGAAATGTGGATTTTATAGTTACAGAGTTTTGGGGAGGATGGTAGAATGATTTGATGAATGTGAAATTGCTAAGTAACTCACAATATCAATTGTCCTTAAATTTAAAGTACTTAAACAAATGGATATGTGTGGGTGGGAAAAGGAACTGTGACCAAATGCCTCTCTAAAATGCATAAGATTATCTTTATTTCCAGATAAAAATCATGTATTCAATGCATATAACCTTAGCTGGACTCTACTTCTCCGTGGTCACTAGATCTAGGACGCCACAGAACTTTGCTGTCTGTTCCTGTTCATTTGCTTACTAGAGTTTCAACTGATGATACTTTTTGGCCTAGACTTTATTCTTGTTAGTTTGCAGACATCTGCTAGACTCATGAGTCATTCACACAATTACAATGTAAGTCAGTGGTTGCAGTGATCTTGCCCGTGATGCAAGCTGGACCTCAGCTGGGAACTCCAAGGCTCTGGATTCTCTTCCCTTTGTTCTTCATATTCATGGTTACCATGAGGCATATTTGGAATGCACACCAACTACATAAGGACCTGCTCTCTGAATTTATTCAGGGGATATCTTTATTATATCCTTCCTGGAAGTTAGGAAAGTATGATATAATCTCATTTTAACCATCTAAGTATATTAGAGATGCCAAGGCTTGTACAAAGGTTATGCCAACATTCTTTCTTGTTATCCATTAAAAAAAAAAATCCTGCTTTGAAGGCTGGCTTTTTACCAGAAACATAACAGTGTCTCCTTTGTTAAATTATATTAGCTTATTTCTCCCAAGTAGCTTCGTTTTCACAAACACATTTACATCTGTGCTCTGAAATAAATGTAAATGCTAGATATTAGTTTTGAATAATCAAATAAATCAATAACCTTGACAACAGGAATGCCTGTTTTTCCATAGACGTCTTTAGGACTTTTTGTATCAGTTGACAGAAATGTTTGTCTTTTGGTTGAACAGTTGCTTTGCAGATTTGAAGGAAGTAATTGGGCAGGCCTAATGATAAACACGAATTTCCCAAGTTTAAGATAGTTCCTACAATATATATTGGCCGAATAATACAGTATTTTGTAGACTCCTTTCAGCTGGTATTTTCACGAGATTTTAGATAGCTAATCAGAAAATGAAGATAAATTTTCCACTTTCAGAGATGTACATAGTAATGATTTTTCTTTACTCTTGTTTTGTCCTACTAAACATGTGGGAAATTTAAGTTTTGTATAGAATAAATGTTCTCCTGAATAAACCTACAATTTGTTTTTCAAATATCAACTCAGATAACCATGTTGTTCAAATATCAGCTGAAATTGCAGCTGATTGTTTTGGATTTTATTCCATCTGTTGCACTAATTGTCTACATTAAGGCTAATCCTTGGGTCATATTAGCATGTGTTACAGAAATTTTTGTTACATTAACAATTTCCTCTTCTAGTCACTCTTTACTTCAAGTCAGTACTGTCAATACTGGACCACTAAATATGTATCTCATTTTTTAAATTGTTTACAATATATGCTAAAGCTAACATGTAAGAAATTCTGAATCAATCCTTTTGCATCCAATTATTCAAATTTATTTATATGAGGATCTAAGTAAATAAATTGTTTCAGGGCCATTATAAGACCCCCATATAGTTTCCATATGTTTCTAATAACAGCTATTCTTGAAATTATTTTAAAATTGATGAACAATTTGAAATTGGCATTTCCCACTTAATTTTGTCCATTTTTTAAATCTATCAAATATCTTTGAGTCAGTTTCCATGCCAGAAATTTTTTTCTCATTCATCTTTCATTTTTCACTGCATACATGTATATGCATAAATAATGTTACATTCTACTTTTTAAATTGACATCAAGAAAATAAAGAAATGGGAACATAAGGTCACAAACAAGACCATAAACCATGGATAATCAATTAATAGACCTGGCTTTAATTTGAAAAGTTTATTTACAAACTATAGAAGACCGTTTCGTATATCATTAATAATTCTACTTTTTACAAACTTGCTTTTGTTGTCATTTTTATCATACTAAGAAAAAGTATTTCTTATGGTGATTTTTTCCTTAAATATATCCAAATTCTCTCATTCATTCATCTTTTTGAATATGATTATCATAACTAGAAAAAAAAAGAAATAAATAATATCTGAACTACTTAATACATGTTTAGTTACTAAATTATAAGATAATCAGTCTGTAAGTAATTAAACTGCATGACATGGGATTAATCAATTAAAAATTATAAAATGGTCTGTATTTCCTCTTTACTTATAATATTCCCCATTTACAATTTTTATTTTGTACATTCACCTTCATATTTCTATTGAGAGGAAACAGAGCATTATGTAAAATTTTAATTAAAAATACGATGCTAGATTTTGAGGAGTCCAGAAAATGTCAAATGGACTTTGATAAAATGAAGATTAGGATTATATTTTTAATAAAGTAAGAAATAAAAGCAATTATGTAGATGATTTGAGGTTACTATTTTCCAACAAAACAGAGTAATACAAACTTATTTCAGATATATCTTTGCTGAATTTTCTGGTTTGTTGCCTTAATTATGCCTATATAAAACTTACTATACTTTGTTAACTTGGAAAAAATAGCATTTTCTTGAATATTTTTGTAGAAGATTTTAAAGATTATATTTAATATGATCAAATTAATAATTCTACTGGCAATTCAAACCTAAAATATTATTTTAGTTAGCAGTGGAATAGCTTTTATTGATTGTTTTGGGTTAATGTATTTACTGATGTTTCTAGTTTCTCATAACTTATACTAATAAACATTTCTATTTATAGTTCACAAAATGATTTCCAAAGCATAATTTTATTTGATACTCACAACTAGCCTGTGAGTAGCTATCATAGCTACTACATCCATTTTAAAAAGCTGGAGAAACTGAGACTCAAATTTGTCAAATTACTTGCTCAAGGTCATACATCTACCAAGGACAGAACTGGGAACCTCATTCATCTGCATTAAGATCCTGGAACTTTCTACAATGTCATGAAACTATATAGAGAAATCAAACTAATATAAACAAACTTGAAATCAGGGGGGAAAAACCAATTCAAGAGTCTCATAAATCATGGCAATAAGTGGTATATTTTTGCTAAGATTATATGGAAATGAATTTTATGTAGTTCCCCATTTTAATACTAATTTTCTTCCGATATACAGGACTGTGTTATATGAATGTTGCCCTGGTTACATGAGAATGGAAGGAATGAAAGGTTGCCCAGCAGGTAAAATTTCAATTACTGAAATAAATGAGGAACTTATCTTATGTGAGGAAAAAGACTTGAGGTAGCTTAGCTTGTAGATAAGCCAATGTGTATGTGTGTGTGTGCGTGTGTGTGTGTGTGTGTGTGTGTGTGTGTGTGTGTTTTAGCACCATGATAAACTTAGCACCATGATAAATACTAAGATATGCCACCATCTTTGTGCTAATCATTAATTTTTCATGGTGACAAAGTATTAAAACATGCAGCTCATTCAGTGAATGTTGGGCCATACAACACAAACCTGATCATAAATTTAAATTCAAATGAAAAAATTAAATGAAAATCCTCTTTACAAAATCCATCTTTGACATTGTCTAGAAACGTGGAGTGGACTAGTTGGGAAGGCATAATTTTCTGTAACTGAACAGCTCTGATTTTATAACAACCCTCATGTTGAAAATTGGTTTTCTAAAATTGCCAACTAGAGAAAAAAAAAGTTAATCTAGTTCCTCTCTGAAATGACAGCCATTCAGATATTTAACACCAACCATCACATACTTCCATTGGTTATCCTTTCTTTCTCAATAGATTTCTCTTCCCTGAGCTAATCGTTCCCAGTTCTTCTAATATAACATAAACTTTGAGGCCCTCACCATTATGGACACCAATGCATAAAAATCCTCTAATCCAGTAATCTTTCTGAATGTGATTCTAAACTGGTGTCTGCATTCTTTGTGGGTCCCAGCAGCCGAGATATTAAAATCAAGACAAATACTTCACTTTTGGGGGCCCCTGAATTTTGGTTTGTGTCATTGGTAACCAAGTCTTATCATTAGCTTGTAATGAATTTATGACCAATTACAATCAATTACAGTTCTTTCTATCAAGTCAGGCCTTTCTCTAGGATTTATTTTTTCAGCTTGGGCATAAGGACAAACATTGAGCTCTGTTATCTTGAATTTGTTAATTTTGACTCGTTTTCCTCATCTTTTTGGGGTCTTTGGGGGTCTTGATTTTATAATTTATTAATTGTCACCTAGTCTTTATATATTCACAAATGTAATAACCATTTCTCCTATGACATTATCCAAATCATATGAATTTTCAAATAGGGTCAAAAAATGAATAAATCAGCTGCATCAGTTTTCAGGTTGACATTCATATATTAATATTTTTTCTGAAGTTCAGGAGAAATATTCTGGAAGCGTTAGATACTTCCATCTATTTTCTCCCTGAAATTATGCTGAAAAGAAGTAGGTCTACATATTTCTTTTAAAAACCCAAATCTATAAAAATTAATAACCCAGTACCTAACAATATTACACCATTTAGGAGTTTAAGCCAACATGGAAGAAAATATTACCTTTGCCATCCTCAGTGAGAAGTGAGGAGCATCTTTTTTTTTTGCAGTGAATCAGAAATATTTGCTGATAATTACAGTTCAACTATTATTGACATAGCAGGAGTCACACCTACATACACTAATACGTAATACATAATGTTAATCAGGATAATTTAATTCATTTTTCCTCAACACAAAGGATATATGAAATAATAGTTTTCAATGTTATTTTATTATTTAACCCTTAAAAGACAGCTTTTGTGTAAAATTGATAATTCATATAATTTTATTGCTAAAATCATCAGTTAAATGTATTGAGGAATTTAGTAAAAGTTTAAATGATTGTGAAATAATAATCTTGAAATATTGTTCTAAGTAATTCTTCATGTCTTCATTATTTCAGTTTTGCCAATTGACCATGTTTATGGCACTCTGGGCATCGTGGGAGCCACCACAACACAGCGCTATTCTGATGTCTCAAGACTGAGGGAAGAGATTGAAGGAAAGGGATCATTCACTTACTTTGCACCGAGTAATGAGGCTTGGGACAACTTGGATTCTGTAATTCATTATTTTTATTAATATAATTATTTTTATTGTGATTTCATTTTAATTGATTTATTAACTTGGAAATTAATAGAGATCTTATATCTCTTTTTTGTTATACATATATGATGATATTAAGTATAAAGATGAAAGCATTTTAATATATCCGTATATGGAATACCTCCCCAGTAGTTTCATAGACTAATTTAAAAAAGGCAAACCAAGGGTGGACTGAACTGGTGTTTATCATTATTCTATTTTACTCCTTTCCTCTTTCCTTTTTGATTGGGAAGAAACATATTGAATTTTAGATGACCTATTCAACAGAAAGGTAAATTAAGAAGCCTAGTGGAATTTAAAATTTATTATAAGTCATATTATAAATACATAAATAATTATTTTAATTATATGTAAATATATTTGCTTCTCAGATATTGACATTTATAAATATGTATGGTTATTATAAATAATGCTTTTGATTTTCAGAATTTTTGTGCATAATTTGTAATATACTAAATTTCCAATCTGTAAAACTGGTATAGAAATATATTCCTACGTTCTACTAGATATGAAGGCAAATTGATAATTATGACTAGAGTCAAATAATATTTAGTAAGGCAGGATCTTCTAGATAATTATCTAGAACTCTCTCTGTTAGTTGCCATTGACCTCATCTCTTAACCACCTTTCTGGGTCTTTTTGCTGACTCCTCTTCTTCCTTCACTTAATAATGAGTCTTACTAAAGTCTCTTCTGGGAATTAGACTTTGCTCTTTATATACCCTTCTAATGGCTTCGGCCATCACTTCAGTGCATATAACCATGAAATCTGTTTCTGTAGTTGTTCTCCTTGGAACCTCAGGAAAATATTTCTAATGTCCATTTTAATACTTCTCCTTGGATATACCACTTAATATTTTTCCTTAGATACACCACTTCATCTTTAAACAAAAAGTTATCTAAAACATGTGCCCTTTTCTTTCTCCCCACAAACAGCTGCTTTTCAGTTGCCTTTTTTCCCATAATTGGCAGTACCCATCTGAAGTGTTTAGACTTGAAAGTGGTGATTCATTCTACTCCTGCTCTAATTCTTAACTATTGTTAGTCATCGATGTCTCATGTTTCATCCTCCTCACTAATATCTTCATTTTTGCTCTACATTTTCACAAGATTAACCTTCCCAAAGCCCAGTCTAATAATTTTATTCCAATACAACAAAATCTTCAGTGGCTCCTTGTTGCCAGTTTACTCAGGCATTAAAGTCTTCCACATTATTGTCCCACACACTTTTCTAAAATTCCTTCTTAATGTTATCTAAGAACATAAAGTATATGCTAACCAACCTGAGTAAAATCTTCTCTCCCAACATTCAGCCCTGTGTCAGCAACTGGACTTAAAACAATCACTACTATTCCTACCCTATCTACTCTTTAATGCCTATCCCCAAGCCTTGAATAGCTGCCTTTCCTCATTTTACCTATAGTGTAATTATAAGTATTTTAATGATGAACTGCAATAAAATAAACTTCTAACATTTCAATTTTTCCTAGGATATCCGGAGAGGCTTGGAGAGCAATGTAAATGTTGAATTACTGAATGCTTTACATAGCCATATGGTTAATAACAGAATGTTGACCAAGGACTTAAAAAATGGCATGATTATTCCTTCAATGTATAACAATTTGGGGCTTTTCATTAACCATTATCCTAATGGGGTAAGTTTCATGAATAAAAAGTACATTTCAGAGTAATATCACCTTTAATTTTGTCTATACCTTTTATATCATGTTCACAGAAATAGTAAAATGTTAGTAAATGTAAGCACTATATTGTGCTTTCCCCCCACATTTAGAGCATGCAAATTTCTAATTCAGTGGCTGACTTCTATAGAGAGTGGTTGTGAGGAGGAAATTAAGTTCACAGTTCATCGACAGTAGACTTAGATGTCCTAAAAAAAGGGAAATTTTAGTAGTTGATGTGTTTGAAAAATGATAACTACAGAAAAATTGTAAATAAGAATTTATCAAAGAATACCAGAGAATGAATATTCCTTTATTCACCCTCTAGCTACTATACTGATTTAGGTTCTTCTGTGTGTAGAGTCCTTGCGGGAAACTTCCAACAGGGTCATAGGGCTCTTCCAACAAATTTCCAGGGATGAAAAGGGTCAGTGATGAGGTAATAATTGGGAAATTACTGGAATAGAACTGATTATATTTGTGCAATAACTATTTCTCTCTTTCAAAACTTACTTTAGGACTGATGAACTTTTTCATGTAATTCACTGACCTGCAGCTGAAACAGTTTATGACTATCTCTATAAGAGGAAGAGAAGGGGGGGGAAGCAATAACTCAAATGAAAAAAAAAATGCTTTTTTCCCTTATTTTCTAGATATGTTACGTGTAACTCAACTGGTCCTGTTTTCTCTTAGTTTCCTTTTTAGACAGAGCAATATATGTCTTTATCCTCAACACTTACATTTAGAATGTTGGCTCCTTCATGTTACATTTACTAGTAGAAATGAAAGATAGATAATGGCCTTGCAGTCTCAGTGGTCAATTGATGGCTCTAATTTCTGCACTTTGATTTTCTCAAATAATTATAGGTTGTCACTGTTAACTGCGCTCGAATCATCCATGGGAACCAGATTGCAACAAATGGTGTTGTACATGTCATTGACCGTGTCCTTACACAAATTGGTACCTCAATTCAAGACTTCATTGAAGCAGAAGATGACCTCTCATCTTTTAGGGTAAGTACAAGAAATAACAGCAGATTGTCTTGCATCACTGAAATCTAACAATAGAAATGTTATTTTAAAAATCTGGCAGAAATATAACAAATATATTTCTTGAAATGAAAAGAGCTTTATTCTACAGGGAAGAAATCATCCCATATGACATAATAATACTTGTGTGGACATGATAAATACCCAATAGTTAGTTATGTGCCCATAGTGTATTCACTGTATTTAGTATGTGTCCATCTCAGTTATATATACTGCTGGATATTGCTAGAGTCACACAAACATGGGCAGGATTCCCATTCTTACAAACAGGTTTGAGGAACCTTGGAAAGAATGTAGTTTGTTGTGCCAACAAATCATGTTTTAAAGATCTAACAAGAGCAAACTTCTCTAATTTTCTACAAAATCAACTCCCTCATGACAGCCTAGGTTAAGTGTGTTGTGATTTTCTTTTGGATCTGCAACATACAACCCTTAACAAGCACATTTGTGTTTCAGGCAGCTGCTATCACATCTGATATACTGGAGTTCCTGGGAAGAGATGGTCACTTCACCCTTTTTGCTCCCACCAATGAGGCTTTTGAGAAGCTTCCACGAGGTGTCCTAGAAAGGATCATGGGAGACAAAGTGGCTTCTGAAGGTACTAAAATATTCTCCTCTCTGAGAAGCCTCCCAGAATTCCAAGAAAAGAAAATTTAAAAAAAAAAGAAAAAAGATTAAGTCATGCTCCTATTATCAACTTTGATAAGCAAAGGCAAAGAAAAACTTGTGTTCTGAAGTGGACTGCAAAATCTTAAAAAAAAAAAAAAAAGCCTTTGAAAGAGTCAGCAGAGTAATTAAATAATTAATAATTAATTTTAAAATAATATCTTAAAGATCATATTCTTTTTTATTGCTTTCAAGTAAATAAGTAGCAGGCATTAAAAAGGATTTAGCCATGGTTTAAAAGAAATATTAGATTATCAAATTTTAGTATTGTACATGTATTACATAATGATTTTAATTCTAAATTTATGCTAAAATGTATAATTAAGTTGAGAAAATTACACGGTTCTCTTGGTCTATTATTTATTTATACATAGAATTTGGCTTCATTCTAGTCTCCCTATCTATTTTCAAATAGATTTTATGTTGTGAGGAGTACATTTAACTAACATTTAACCAACATTTAACCAATTTAAAATGAGAAATTTTGATGATACAGATATAGAGACAATATGGTTGAAGGACAGATCCCTTCAGATATCTTCCAAGAAATCATCTTTATTTTGGCTACTTTCCAGATGTTTTCTTTAGAGAATTATTTGTCCTACCCTCCTCTTCTATTAAACTCTTTATAAATCATATGCAGCTATTCTGTTATGAGTGGCTTATGCAAGATGCTGCTTGTGTGTTTAAGAATAGGTATCTCTAGTAAATACAGGGATCATTCTTCTTGTTTTCATGTCCGAAATTACTTTCTTATGAGGGTGGAAACTTGCTCTAACACATTTTCTAAGCACTACACAAATCATTTCATGCAACTGATCTTCTCTTCTTACTTCCTACTGAGCTGAGCTATTTCTATTGAATCGTTCATATAGTGTGTTGAAAAAGCGTTCCTAGAACTTAAACAATTTAAAACCCTTCAGTCAATACTTAGGCCTTTTTTTTTCTTTTAATACTTAGGTCTTATATGTATTATATTTCTTAGGAATTCTCAGGTCCACAGTGAACTATGTCTTTAAGGGTTAAGTGCAATTTCCCTTGATCTCAAAACTTGCTGCTTTTCATTTGTCCTCCAGCTCTCTTGAAGTACCACCTTTTGAACACCCTCCAGTGTTCTGAAGCTATCATGGGAGGAGCAGTCTTTGAGACTCTCGAAGGAAACACCATTGAGATAGGATGTGACGGTGACAGCATAACAGTAAATGGAATCAAAATGGTGAACAAAAAAGATATCGTGACAAATAATGGTGTCATCCATTTGATTGATCAGGTCCTAATTCCTGATTCTGGTGAGCAGCAGTTTTGGATTCTTCCACCTACTACTGTTTACCAGTTATGATGCCACATGACTAAATGCACGAAAAGTGAATGTGTAGCATAAGGAAAGGCGTGTGAAGCACAAATGCAGCACAGTGAACTGAGTTAACTAGGTAGCCTGTGTAGCCACGGGCTCCTGGGTAGCACGGAACTTCCGCTTTCCCCGGCTTCTAACACTTAATATTTATAAAGGCTCTTTCACAGTACCACAGTTTTTCTTGAAAGTGGAAGGACAGATCTATCTAACCAAATGGTCAGCTTTGGATAAATGAAAGAGCTATGGCACTCACAAGAGCAGAGAAAGGTGGGACGTGAGCCATAGAGAATTAAAGAAAATGAAACTAAGAAGCTGGAAAAATATTTTCTTTTTTTAAAATTCTCTGTGGTTATCAACCCCCCAAAACAGGAATCTGGAACTCTTACTAGGGAAGGGCAGGATATCTTATCACATTGTCATGGCAGCAAATAGCTTATAGAGAACAGCCAAGAACTGATTTACTAATTTCAGGATGATGATGATAGTAACAAAGATGACATTGTTGCGATGGTGATGGTTTACTTTACAGCCAAACAAGTTATTGAGCTGGCTGGAAATCAGCAAACCACTTTCACAGACCTCGTGGCCCAGTTAGGCTTGGCATCCGCTCTACGGCCAGATGGGGAATACACTTTGTTGGCACCTGTGAATAATGCATTTTCAGGTATGTACTGGACACTGTCATTCCTACTCTCCCTCTCCCACCAACCCTCACACACATTTTTCTTCACCATGATTGTTTGCATTAAGGAATAACCGACATTTTACAAGGTGGTGATTATTTCTTTATTGGCTACACATTGTTAGTACTATGTCGTCTCTATTAAAATGTCCTTCATTTAAAAAGATTTCATTATAATAGATAATAGCCTACAGGGAGTAAAAGTTTGTGATAAAGGGTATTCAGTTATTCTATGAATCTATTCATAATTCCAATACACACAAACGATGTATTAGTAGATCTTAAGAAAAATTAATCTGATTTGTTTATTTAACACCAACATAATATTTAAGAATAAATAGTTTAGGGGCGCCTGGGTGGCTCAGTTGGTTAAGCGACTGCCTTCGGCTCAGGTCATGATCCTGGAGTCCCGGGATCGAGTCCCGCATCGGGCTCCCAGCTCCATGGGGAGTCTGCTTCTCCCTCTGACCTTCTCCTTGCTCATGTTCTCTCTCACTGTCTCTCTCTTCTCTCAAATAAAGAAATAAAATGTAAAAAAAAAAAAAAAAAAAGAATAAATAGTTTATTTTTCATCTCAACATTTGATATAAGGTGTCAAATTATAAATAAATAAAAACAAGAGACTATTTTATTATATACTTCTATGTTACTATGTAAACTATTATTATAAGTACTTTATCTACTAGTTGCTCTTCAAGGATGATGTTTATATTAGTGTAACCTGCCACTTTTTCTAGAAAAGTGATTTCACAAAGACATATTTAAATTGTAAAGCAAAATTTAGTAATTAAAAAATAAGTATTATTTTAAAAACATTTTCCCAGATGTTAAATTGTAATGTATAAAATTATTAATAAAAATTCAAATTCCTAGAAATGCTATTATTCCTCTTTGTAATAACTGTTAGGATGGTGACTGTGTTTTGATTTTCTCTTCGTAAGTAACGATGAATTTATAAATGATTTGTCAGTAGTGTCATGTGACCAGTGTATGTCAAATTCTCATAAAAATTAGAATAATGTTACAGCCAGGGTGCTTGGGTGGCCCAGTTGTTAAACAGCTGCCTTTGCCTCAGGTTATGATCCCAGCATCCTGGGATCGAGCCCCACATTGGGCTTCCTGCTCCATGGGAAGCCTGCTTCTCCCTCTCCCACTCCCCCTGCATGTGTTCCCTCTCTCGCTGTATCTCTGTCAAATAAATAAGTAAAATCTTAAAAAAAAAAAAAAAGAAGAAGAAGAATGTTACAGTCATTTGATCAAAGAGCTCACAGAGTTTCTAATTAGTGCATGGAATTTGTAGCCTTGAGCATTCAGTTGACTCATATATTTTATGAGTGCAGAATCTATAATATCCATAGTATTAGGGATTATCCATTTTCATGATTTTTTCTTATCAGGAGGAATTTTAATGCTTTCTAAGTAATCCTTTTTCTTCATGAATTTATTTATAGATGACACTCTGAGCATGGATCAGCGGCTTCTTAAATTAATTCTGCAAAATCACATATTGAAGGTAAAAGTTGGCCTTAATGAGCTTTACAATGGACAAAAGCTTGAAACCATTGGAGGCAAACAGCTCAGAGTCTTCGTCTATCGTACAGTAAGTCAATCAGAAAAAGATAATATATCTACATTGACCTAAATGTCAAATGACATTTCCCTGACTAAGAATATTATTAAAGCATATGTGTCCAGAATTTTATTAATGTGGTTTTAGTAATAGTAAATATTCATAGGAAGATCGGGAACTGAGTAATGTATGAAAAGACTGTGAGGAAGGGTGACAAAAAGTGCTGGGTATTAACAATTCAGATAATTTGCATTTGTTTCATTATCTGTTCTAAAACATTAATTATTTCCATTCTAGAAATCATAAAACTCCTCTAAAATAAGCTTTTGGTTTATGGATTCCTGTAAGTTTACAAAATAATTTTTTATAGACATCTAAAGATCTCTGAACTCTAGAAAATAGTTCTAACATACTTTATCTGAGGAACTATTTCTAGAAAATATTGCTTATGAAAACTACAATGCAAGTAGTGGTACCGTTCAATTTCTGTCCAGGCAACTGATGCATCTAGAGCTCAGAGATTTTACAGAAGTCAAGCATTACCTGATACAACACATAGCAGCTGCTCACGATGGTTCCACAATTCCAAGACACACATTTTATAAGATGCAGGAAATGGGCTGCATATACATATATTTGTTCAAAAAACACTATAACAAAATTAATAATGTGACATAATTGATAGAACCTTATAGTCAGGAAAATATAGTAAATATCTGTGAAGATCTCAAAAGGTACTGAAGTCAGGGAACTTTATGGTTAAAGATGGTCCTAAAGAGTTAGAGAGTGAAAGTTTCTTAAAGAGGGTGTGGAAGAATGGTTCAAACCTGGAGAAGAATGATGAAAAATACAGACATGGAATTCTATGTAATTTTTGTTATTTATGGATGAAACTACCTGTCTGACACATAGGGTAGTTAACTAGTAGTAGATAACCTGATTGAATAAGAAGTGTGAAGTCAGTTTATGCCACACCTTAAAAAAAGAAGTGAGATGCTATTTCCTTTGGCCAGAGAGGTAAGGAGACTTCTTAAAAGAGTCAATCCATTAGCTCAGTTTTGCATATACTTCCACATAGGACATTTCAAGTAAGGAAATAGACAGTTGTATCTTTCCCTTCTTTGCTAGGCTGTCTGCATTGAAAATTCATGCATGGTGAGAGGAAGCAAACAAGGAAGAAATGGTGCTATTCATATATTCCAAGAAATCATCAAACCAGCAGAGAAATCCCTCCATGAAAAATTAAAACAAGATAAGCGCTTTAGGTAAGCCAAATGGATTCACCCCCACCAAAAACAAACAAACAAACAAAAAATAAACAAAAAACAACAAACAACAAAAACATGAGAACTATTGATATAGTTTTGTGTCACAGTTAGTATCCAAAAGGTATTCAATTATTCAGTATTGCTGAAAATAGAATTTAGAATAAGAAGTCCATGCAAATGTTTTCAAAACTGAAATATATTCTTTTTTTTTAAATCATTTTTTTTTAAAGATTTTATTTATTTATTTGACAGACAGAGATAACAAGTAGGCAGAGAGGCAGACAGAGAGAGAGAGGGGGAAGTAGGCTCTCTGCTGAGCAGAGAGCCAGATGCGGGGCTCGATCCCAGGACTCTAGGATCATGACCTGAGCCGAAAGCAGAGGCCTCAACCCACTGAGCCACCCAGGCGCCCCTGAAATATATTCTTAAGAGTATTTTGCTTCCTGATGTACCATAATATGATTTGGTGAGGGAAACAATCGAATACATTGGCCTATTCCTTGCAATTTTTTTTTATATTTAAGTTTTTGAAAAAATGACAGTAAATACTAGCAAAGACTATTTTGTGGAATATTAAATGAAAAACATAATTTCTATTTTGTCATGAAGTGTGACCTTGTCAAGTTTTGTAAGATAAAAATTTAGTTTAGGAGATTTAAAAACCATATGCATATTTAAATAATTTCCCCATGATAAAACTTTCTTAACAGGTAAATTGCATTTGAAACATAAAAATGGATGAATAGGGGGGCCTGGGTGGCAGAATCAGTTAAGTCTCCAACTCTTGGTTTTGACTCGGGTCATGATCTCAGGGTCGTGAGATGGAGCCCTGTGTTGGGCTCCATGCTGAGCACAGAGTCTGGTTGGGATTCTCGCTCTCCCCCTCTTCCTCTGCCTCTCCCTCACCTCCTCAAATAAGTAAATAAATCTTAAAAAAAAATGCATGAAAATTTCTCATGCTTTCCACCGTAAATGGATTCTGTTCTATTCCATGCATACCTAAATCTAAATCTAACAGAATAAATGTGTCTTTCCTGCTTAGTGTCTTCCTCAGCCTACTTGAAGCTGCAGACTTGAAAGAGCTCCTGACACAACCTGGGGATTGGACTTTATTCGTTCCAACCAACGATGCCTTTAAGGGAATGACAAATGAAGAAAAGGAAATTCTGATTCGTAAGTAGAAGTGAATACCAGGTATTTGCCCCTAGGGTTCAGGATCTCATTTCTTCCTCAAGCATTCCTGCCCAGAAATCAACCTCAAAAATATCCCCTCTTTAATACTCATGTCTAGCCTTAGTTTCCTTTAATTCCACTTGGAATATGTGGAAGGTCACTCATTAATATTCTTAATTAACTGCTTGCTGTCATGATTGTAGAGCTAGATGTTCACTTATGCTATTTCTATTAAATTCCACACAATTAGGTGACAAAGGAAGTAGTCACAATCCCAAAAATAATTTGATTTTCCTTCCTTTCAGTAGGTTGGCTAATATTTTGATTGAACAGACTGAAGTGACAGTTTCGACATGGCATTGATAGCAACTTGAGAGAACAATGATATGATGAGAAATTACAGTGTGGAAAAAACAAAGACAAAGAAATATGTCTATCCTTAATCTTTCCAGCATCAAACTATCAAAAAATATAACATGTTATACATATACATATCTCCCCCAGGTGACAAAAATGCCCTTCAAAACATCATCCTTTATCACCTAACACCAGGAGTTTTCATTGGAAAAGGATTCGAACCTGGTGTTACTAATATTCTGAAGACCACACAAGGAAGCAAAATCTATCTGAAAGGAGTAAGTTCTTTAGAATGAATTTAGGATAGCATTCATCTATTTTTCAATTATCTTAAAGTTAATTTTTCATTAATTTCTCATTGATATTAACTCTTGTTTTGATAGGTAAATGATACACTTCTGGTGAACGAAGTGAAATCAAAAGAATCTGACATTATGACAACAAACGGTGTCATTCATGTTGTAGATAAACTCCTCTACCCAGCAGGTTGGTAATTATTGAACTCATTAATGAATTAAATCATTTTCAAAAGAAACCTAGACTTTTATTTCACACTTTCTTATCAATATTCATCTAATCTTCCTCTTCCTAGACACACCTGTTGGAAATGATCGGTTGCTGGAAATACTTAATAAACTGATCAAATACATCCAAATTAAGGTACAGAACCTTATTGGGTTGGTTTGCAATGTGCTGAACAGATATTGCAATTTTAACATAAAAGACTAGAAATGTATAAATAAATAGGTAGATGTATGCTGTATGTGGATTGCTCTTTGTTGAATATGTACCACTGGCTTTCCTGTGAATAAATGACATAATTTCTTTATGGTTTTATTTAACAAATATCTATTAAAAGCTACTTGGGCCCAAGCAGTGTATTAAGAGTAATGGGAAATATAAGTTGAATCAGAGATGGCCCTTTATTTAAAAACTTATAGCCCAATTGGAAAGAAAAGACACGATGATAAAAAAAAAAAAAACTATAATCTTTCTATTATTAAATAACTTTGCTACAGTATAAAAGGTAAAGTATTTACTTGTAAAAAACCATCACTAATGCCAGTGGTTACAGGTAAAAAGGTATTCTGCTCCTCTGTCCTTGTAGGGTCAAAGTATGAGAAAACATATGAAATACTATTTAAAAATCTATTTCACTTTAGATTAGCTATTTTATAATTTTTAAGACTCTGAGTAAGAAACTGGTACTTTTTATGCCATCTGGACCAATAACAGGATATTGCAAAATGAATTAAAGTGGTGTCATAATTTTGTTAATAAAACTACTAATTTCACATTACTAAATGCAAATATTTATTTTCAGTTTGTTCGTGGTAGCACCTTCAAAGAAATCCCCATGACTGTTTACAGTAAGTATATAAAGAATATTTGTCACATACCAATGGCAAGATGTAAAAAAAAGAAAATACAATAATTTTCTTTGTACTTGGAAGCAGAAATTATTGATAATCTGGTATTTAGAATTCCAAACAAAGACAAATTTCATCCCACTTGAAGCAGGCTTAAGGTCTGGATGAGACCTCTCAGCCGGGGCCATACCCTTCAGATCCTATGAACTAAACTGAACTTCCCCATTCCTCAAAAAAACAGGAATAATAAGATATGAGAATAGCAGTAAAATGTAATAGCTAGCATGGAAAAGAGGCAGGGAAAAAAAAAAAAAGACATACAAACATACAAAGAGGAGAGACAGCTAAAAGGCACTCCAGAGTTATCTGAAAATTCAGATGTGTAGACACAGATGTAACACTGCTGAAAGATTTGTAGCTCCTTCCACCCTCAAGCCGTCAGCAGTCTAAGGACAGGGTGGGCCGTTGTGTGCCAAGGAATCCTAATGTTTATGAGTTGGCAGTTCAAAAACTCTTTCCATCCAAAACTGGATGAAGGAACAAAGAATTTGCCAGGTGATAAACTAAAATTTCTAGATGCCAAGGTTCTTTTATCACTGACTCTACCAGATTATCAAAATTAAACCTCTACTACTTAACAACGGTTAAGGTATTCCAGTCTCATAAATGTAACTTGTAGTATTCCTTTTTCAATATGGCTTTTTCTTCATCCTTCTTGTTTCCTTCTTTCTTCATAGCTTTCAAAGCAGAAATTCTTTTCATTTTGTTTTGACTCTACAATTAAACATTCAAAATGTACCAGTAGCAAAAGTATTACTTCAATTCCCACTCTTATCCTGGCCAGAAAAGAATTCTGTTTTATACTCTGAGCATTCTGTTATTGAGTTAAAAAATTATTTCTTCAGGATTTACACTAGATATGGAAGAATGAAGGCAATGTAAGGAGCAAAACAAAATGTCTGCTGCTCTTCCTGATTTCAGTTGTATAATAGTAACATAAGCAAATCCAGTATCAGGCCAGCTCAGTACTATTTTAAAGATTGAGATGGAATAGATATGATTCAACATTGTATAAATTCCAGTATGGAAGTGTTCAATCTTGTATATATTTTAAAATAAATTAAAGAATCATTATGGGCTCTATTCATCAGAAATGTTATGTCATCTTTCTCATTTCTTTACCTTTCCTACTTTACCCATGATAGGTCCACTACCTTCTACATAGGCCAATGAAATACTTTGCTCCATGAGCCAGAATCTTACAATTGTTTTATTTTCCTCTATTAAAATTGGATCTGCACTCACAGAAAATAAATTATATTTTATGAAATCATGCAAATCCAATAAACCTTGTCTATCTACTCAAAGCTCTTGAAACAGCTCTGAGATTTACATTCCAATGCCAGATATTTCTTTAACCCCTGCCCAGATGGGCATGTTGCTGTTTAGAAGAACTTCAAATAGTGGTAGAGAGCAATTAAACCTAAGATTCCATTTTTGTGTTCCTTCATTGACTTATCTCTAAAACTTCTTTAATTTCCTTGCTACATATTATTCTTGTCCCCAAAATACCATACATTTCAATTGTATGGGGGAAAAGAGCTCTATCATATACATCGTTGAATATGTAACAATTGAGGTAGAGCAGAATAAAATCAGTGTTTAATCCCCAGTCCGGAACCTGTCAAAACTATTTAATTCTTCAGGCAAGCAAGATTGAAACAAAACTACCAACCAACTAAATATCCTACACTTCAAGTTCCTTAATAAGAGGTAAAAACTTAAGGTAAAAGTAATCAACCCATTTTGATAGTAGAGGCAGAAACCTCTGTGGATTTGGCCTTCATGGAAAGGTTCCTCTGTGGCATGACCACTTGTGGGATCAGTAATTGGATGCCTAGATTTGATATATTTTAGAGCTTCGTAATTTAAGATTTTAAAATAAAAAATTTGATATGACTGAACCATAGTCATAATTAAGATCTAGACCCCATATGAATTTTAAAAAGTTGACATTTCAGAAGCCTGAGGTGAGAACGTGACAGAAACCCAAACTGTGCTAACATCTCACCTCTAATGTGTCAACACAATCTGTTGTGATTGCACAGTTAGCTTTAGCACAGCCCCACTGTCTAATGGAGCTATCTTTTAAGGCTTCTAATTAGAAATGACAAAAAGCCAGTAGCCCTGGATGAATGGCTCCAGAGGCACATTTCCAGTTTATCTGTAAAACCAAAAGCCAAACCAATAGTTTGCTATTTTAAATAAGTTTTGCATATTATTGTCTTAGTTGGGTAAATGATACATTTAAAATACATACTTTTAAATTAAAAAAAAAAAGATTGTGATAGAGGGTACCTGGGTGGCTCAGTCAGTTAAGCATCTAGATGCCTTCAGCTCAGGTCATGATCTCAGGGTCCTGGGATTGAGCCCCCATGTCAGGCTCCCAGCTCAGAGGAAGCTTTTTCCTCTCTCCCTGCCCCTTCCCCTTCTCTCTCTCTCACTCACTCTCTCTCTCCCAAATAAATAAAATCTTTAAAAAAATGATCATGATATTAAAGCTGAAAATTAAAGACATTTTAGCTGATAAATACTGATCATATCATGTTTGTTGCATAGAGCTCATATTTGGCTGGCTGAAATTTATTTTTTACTTGTAATTATTCTGAACTATTTTTCATATTTTCCTTTCTATATCACTGTTATCAGATGCATGAAAAAATATTTTGTCTTTGTCTTTCAAGTTTGTCTTTTGAGAAAAAAATCCAACAATGCAATTTAAGATATTATGAATTGCATGAAATTAATCATGTTTATTTGTCTTCTGTTGCTATGCAGCCAATATTTTCAAGAAGTACAAAAGAAGGTAAAGAGCTTTAGTGGTGCAGTTCAAAATTACAGATTTCTAGACAGCATTCTTCACTTAGTGTGCATATATTTCACTGGAACAAACCCAAGTCACTGGACTTTAGAGTATACCATCTGGACATGAGAAGATAAATAGATAATGTACCATGAATATTTCCTGTATCTGATGGCCTGAACATATTATTGCAACTTATACCTCAGTACCCAACAATGATTAAAGAAAAAAAAAAAGGACAATTTAGTTCAGGTTGTTTTTATGTAAACATCATTTATGTTCCACTTTCTATACTTTCAGCAACTAAAATTATAACCAAAGTTGTGGAACCAAAAATTAAAGTGATTGAAGGCAGTCTTCAGCCTATTATCAAAACTGAAGGTAAAAAATCATGGTTCCTTTTACTGTAAAAAAACATTTTTTCAAATAATAGACTGATATCTATGAATGTATCTACATTCTTTTTGAAACTAACATGCTAAATATTTCTATACCAGTGGCATGCTCATGTAATTGCAGAATGCGGAATGCAAATTATTTAGCAGAGTAGATGGTGCATTCCTAATACTTTCAGTACATTTGCTTGTACTTGATTTCATTTGAACCTAATTGGCCATTGCATTCACACTAGTACCCAGATAAATAAATAAGCATACAAACAAACAAATAATAAATCTCGAGCTTTTTTTTTTGTTTTTTTTCCTACTTCAGTTAGACTCCTTTTTTTTTTTAATTTCTTTTGTAGTTTTATCTCCAATCTCCCCAAATGATTTCTTGTTATAAAAGCTCTTCCAAAAAGTGCAGGCATTTTTCATTCAATGACCTAAGAGAGCACTGAAGCTATACATTGATGAAAGAGTTTAAAATTAGAACCACATATGACATATTTTTAAATTAGACCACCAGAAACAGAAGAAGGAATAAGTATTTGGTGCCATGAGTCAAACCTTAGAATTATTAATTATAGTCCTGAACTTCTACACTTACTGTCTATTTTAGCCAACTCTACCCAACATCTTTGACGCCACCCTCGTTTCATGTATTTTAATTATTACCAAGGGTCGGACCTTATGTCTAAGCATCTTAATGGGGTGAGTTGCCACAGAGAAAAGACTAAGCTTTCTTCTTTATTCTGTAAGAAGTATATAAATGGTCTTCCAAAAAAGGAAAAAATCATGTTTTCAGTTGAATCTCAAAAAAACTCTTATTTTAAATTTCTTTGATTTTGAAATTTCTTCTCATTCTCCGAACTGAGATGGCAGTTTCTTGAGTATTTTTGTCTATTTTTTTAAAGGCAAGCCATGATTTACAACTAGATATTGAAAGCTTGTATGCAAAATTTATTTCCTAGCTAATTAGTCATCCATATTTTATTTTCTTCTTGAGACCTAATATTGAAATCTGTGCTTATTAAAAAAAAAAACAAAAACTTTACCTATGGTCATTTGATTTTTTTTATATTTTGATGAGAACTTCGTGTCTTAAGAAATTAAATCATTGAAATTTTTGTTGACAAAATGTTTCTTGATGATTTTAATAAAAAGTGATCAAATGATTCTTGGTAATACACTTGATTTTAACATTCTCGTACTGTTTTTAAAATTAGATCCCCTAAAATTTGGTGTCATCACTTGTACACAGTTTCTATAATCAAAATTATTCACATGTGCTCTTCTTATTTTCAAAGATTCCTACCTTTTCTTTCAAGCTTCTTCATTCAACCCATTTATCTTCTCAATCTTTGTCAGTGGGAATCTACTGTATTAATCTTTCTTCAATTAGGAACACAGTGAAGCATCAGTCCTACCTGGGTTCTTCCTATAAAGGGAACAGGATGAAAAATGGGGTCATTTTTATTGTTATCTATGTGTTAAAAAGTCTTCAGTCCAAAAACTCAGAAGTTTTACTTCTGTGTAACATACTGAAGGAAACAAGTAATTATTGTGGCAACCATTTACAATTGTCCAGCTCTAAGATTGCTACTGGAGTTCCCTTCTCATCGAACTTTTGCAGGTTCCTTGACGATTCTTGAATTCTTTATAAATGTATTAGGCTCTAAAACACAATTTTAAGATGTTTCTTATAAAATGTTTTTAACCAGACTATAGAATTAAGAATAAATCAACTGAAATTCATTTCAACAAATACTTAATGAACATCTTATTACTGTGCTGGGCACTCTCTTAGGTGCAGGGAGTAAATATGAAAAAAAGATTTGATAAAAATCCCTGCCTTCATAGTGCATAATGAAAGAAGGTGTTTCTGAAATTTCAATTTAGGCTCTTCCAAAGAAATGTCGATTCGGATATTTTATTAATTCATTTCTTGTTCTTAAACTCCTTAAAGGTATTTTCCTTTTGAAATTCCTTAACCTTAAAAACCTGGCCTTGCATTTGATTCTCAATATCCCTTGATCCCGTAGATCAATAGTACGGTATGAAGCACTCCTTATTTGAAAGAACAATTGTTTTCACTATTTTAGATTGTTTTAGACTAATTCTGGGTAACGGTGTACATTAACAATTTCTGGACAAGCAAATAAATCCACTCAAAGATAAGCAAATACAGTGATATTCAACTGTTAAAGGGTGTTATAGTATGAGTTAAATGTACTGAACTTTACTCTCCTTCTCTATGAAATAGTCTTGGTTAACTAATGTAGTAATCAGCTTTCTAACATTCAAAATGATTTTCTCTGGAAGTGAAATCATTTTGTAAGTCAAATGCAACATTTAACTCTTGCATTTGAAGGACTGTTTAATTATTAATCAGTAAATTTTTGCGTCATTTTCATATATAAGGTAAGTACTCAAATCCATTTTCCCATAAAACCTGAAATTCAGCATCTGAAATATAGACATGAAGTTGAGATCTTTTTTTAATTTCAGTCTTATGCCCATCTGATAAAAAGTATACAATACTGAGTAGTTAAAAATTAAATTAAATTTAATAAGGAAAGAGTGATCAATGATACCAGTATAGTAAAGTAAGATCTACACTAGTTATCGTGAGAGCAATTCAATTTCGTACATACTGTGTGATTCACAAAGTACATAATACCTTGTTTGATCCTACCTTATGACTATGAATAAATGGACGGGTTTATGCTAAACGCTGAAACAGATGAAAGTAATTTTAGCAGCACACCAATAGACTGTCATTTGTTCTCATAAATACTGCCTAATATGAAGACAATGGGAAATGTTTAAAACTGATTTCATAAAGCCTGAAACCATTTTGACGTTTCAGTAACACCAAATGGTGAAATAAATTTCCTGTTCTGCAAAAGTTTAAGAACTGTTTTAACATGATAATTTGTCTCCTAAAACAATACCTCAGGACCCACAATATCAAAGGTCAAAATTGAAGGTGAACCTGAGTTCAGACTGTTTAAAGAAGGTGAAACAGTAACTGAAGTGATTCATGGAGGTGCGTTATATGTATTCCTAAAGCCTAGTTAGGATCAATGGGATTATTCTGAAACAGTGTTGGGTTAAATATGTTGAGCATCTGTTTTCTCCTGGCTTTTGTTTTATTTAAATTGTGGGAATATTTGTCTCATTTATGGGCTTTTCCTGCTAGGTAGGGTTTTTGTTTTGTTTTTGTTTTTGTTTTCTTCCAATCAAATAAAATACAATTTACCTTTAATGAAGTTAAAGTAGTTTTTAACTACTTGGAGTTAATTTATCCATTAAGTCACCAGGTCCAACAAAACCGTCATTACTGTGCATACGCCAGTGATGATTAGGAAATAGAATAACAATAATGTCAATACAAAGTAATCTATTGGACTTAGAAGAAAAAATAGCCATTGTGTTAAGATTGGCTAATAAATCACTGCGGAGACTGATGATAGGGCTCCCACTCTAATGATGTAGAATTCCCTGGATTCTTACTAACACTCATTCCACAGTCAGAAAACAAGTATGAGAGTATGACATGGAGAGTTAACTTGCCAGTTGGCTCTCTCCCTCACCCAAGATTCAGGACATAGCTCTACCATTTAGATATTTGTTGATCTGAATCTATTTGAGATATGTCCCCAAAATGATTATGATTGAATTCTAAGTGGTACTGTTTTGAGAAATATATTTAATCATTAAAATGTCTAGCTTATGTATCCATAAGGGGATACATCAAATGCATTTTTCTTCCCCTACTTTTAGAGCCAATTATTAAAAAATACACTAAAATCATTGATGGAGTGCCTGTGGAAATAACTGAAAAAGAGACAAGGGAAGAACGAATCATTACAGGTAAACTTTGATTCCGTACATGGAACTATGCCTGAATTATAAAAGTAAAACCATAGCCAATCTTAAAATATCTCTCTCTATAAGAATCATGAGAGAAATTGACTAAGTCATTTTCATGGTGGTTACTGAAGTTATTTCTTTTTGGCAGAAATAATATTATCCTAAATATGCAATCTATGTTTTTCTCTGAATTGGAATTTGTGGACAAATCTATGAGCATGTTTTTTACTATGCAGATTCATACATATTATATAATATTTTTGCTTTGCCATTTATCAATGAGTTAATAAATCTTAGAAGAAAAACCATTCCCTCCTTTGATTTCCTGTTTAGCTTAAGGTCTACACATCTACATACCAAAATATATGAAAGTTGTTATAAGACAACGGATCTCTAATTTTAGTAAGCATCTGTATCAGTCTCCCACCAATGAATTAATTTAAAATTCTGAATTCAGGGGCACCTGGGTGGCTCAGTGGGTTAAAGCCTCTGCCTTCGGCTCAGGTCAGGATCCCAGGGTCCTGGGATCAAGCCCGGCATCGGGCTTTCTGCTCAGCGGGGACCCTGCTTCCTCAACCCTCTCTGCCTGCCTCTCTGTCTACTTGTGATCTGGGTCTGTCAAATAAATAAATAAAATCTTTAAAAAAAAAATTCTGAATTCAGCTATTTCACAACTATTCATTTAAATGAGCAGTCAGCAACTATGGCCTGTGCCACCTACTTAGTAAAGTTCTATTGGAACCCAGGGTGACCATCCCTTCGTATAATGCCTATAACGGTTTTTCCCCTAGAATGACTATTTAAATAGCGGCAACACAAGTTATAGGGCCTATAAAGTCTATCTGCCCCTTTAGAGTGGATGTTTGCCTACTGCTATTTTAGACTTTTTTTTAAAAATTGTCTTTCTTTCAGGTCCTGAAATAAAATACACTAGGATTTCTACTGGTGGGGGAGAAACAGAAGAAACTTTGAAGAAATTGTTTCAAGAAGGTCAGCATGTCTAGAAAAATAAGAATGTGACTTTACCTAAGCTGTTTCAAAGTCTAAAATAATCTTTGAGGTTTTTAACATATTTTCTATTCTATCTCATTCTTTTGTTCAAATTCCACGCCAACATAGGAAAGATGCCCAAAGATAGAGAATGAAACTCAAATAACAATCACATTGATTGTTTTATTAATATATTTGTTATATATTGTTCAAAAACAGCACAAAAACTGGAGAAAGAATCAAGTGTTGGTGTGGAATTCATTGTTAGCCAGATGCCATTATATAGCATATCAAGTGTTCTGTGTTTTTATTACATAAACCAATTTCTGCTATAAACGTGTATCCTCTCAGAGGTCACCAAGGTCACCAAATTCATTGAAGGTGGTGATGGTCATTTATTTGAAGATGAAGAAATTAAAAGACTGCTTCAGGGAGGTTAGTAAAAGGGAAACAACTAACCCACTTAACAGGTTCTGGAGACTGAGTTCTTCAACTTTTTAAAGACTGAACATTCAGGTTTTTCTTTTAATAAGGTTGAAAAAGACAACATGTTCTGTTGTCTTAAGAGATTGATTGGTTCACCACGAGTTTAAATAACAATAACGGAGAAATGATTACTAGTTTAAACAGTCTTTAAAAAGTTCTATGATATAGAACTTGGGGAGCAATGAATATTTTTTTCTTTGATACAGATAATCATAAGAATATTTTAAGTATCTGACAGGGGAATACTTTTTAAAGTGGTAGTTGTTTAAAGAAGCCCAAATTGACATACTTTTTACATTTAAAAAAACGTATTCACTGCCCCCAGAACAATAATAAAAGGCATGTTTATGGATTTTTTTTTTAAGTGCATAGATCTAGCAAAAAAACAAGTGCATTTAGTAATTTTCTTTTCCAAACTACATTCTTGAGAATGGATATCTGTTTCTTCTAACAGTTTGGGTGATAATCTATACCTGGAGATGGAATTTATTTTGCATATGAAATTAATCTTTAAAGTATGGAATGTTCTCTGTCTATGGCATTAAAAGGACCTACTTTTAAAAGCAAAGGAGAAAAAAAAAGAATTCAAAATCTTAGACAAACTCTAAACAATTATTTGAAGAAACAGTAAATGCTAATAAAATATAATTTGAGTAATTGGCATTTGAATAAATGAACTTCTAGTTCATTTTACTAACAACAAAAATATTTAGATGACAAATTGCTTTAGAGAAACAAGTATTGAAATTACTCAGAAAAATCAAATACACTTCCTGAAATATGCTATGAATTCAGAAACACAACTGCAGTTTGGTATTTATTCAAAATATCATCCTAGATGGCTTTTCTGCTTAAATTGTATCCCTATGTTTAAGAAGATGTAAATTCTCTCAGAACCATACATATTATAGGCAATTGTTTCTTTATTCTTTATTTTAACCTAGTTAAAATCTCTATATAGTGTTGAGACTGTTCAGAGATAGTAAAAATAATTTTATTGAACCAATGATTGAATTTCCCCTCAAGAGAAAAATATGTGTCTGAAAAATACAAGATTTCCTCTCAGACTGCAGGGAGTGTGTGACACAGCCAGAGCCATAAAAGAACCAAGGTTTTCTGTATGATCTAATACAGAATTCACTCATCTACCCACGAATGTTTAACCTTCTGCTAGGAAAGCAGGGATATGAAAGAAGAGGGGAAGATATTATGAAGATTAAATTGAATTCTTTTTTTTTTAAGTCCTTACCATAGTAAGCAGCTTTGTAGAATGGCAGTGCTTTCTAGAGAATGAATCATTTAGTAGCTATACATATATATATATATATACACACACACACACACACACACTGCTTTACTTTATTTAGGCTTAAACTTCAGGTAAGTGTGTTTTCCTCTCTTTAATAAGGCCCGCTTAACAAGTTGATGATAAACAAGGAATTAAGTACATAACAATAACTTCAGGCAAAAGAAAATATGTCTGCTACAAGAATACGATATTCTAATTTTATTTAATGAAATCTTTCTTTAAGTCCTGTTTCTTCTATCCCAGAGGGTTGATTCCTTTAATTCCCAATATTTGGTTTCTCTACATGTCTTTAAAGCAGTAACTTTCACAATACCACATCGTAAGTTTTTATTAAAACATTTCTAAGGTTTTTCAAAACATTTCAAGGGTTATTTTCACATCATAAAGACAAGATAAGTTACTAGTATCTGAACACTAGTTGGACATGGTACTTTTTTTTTCTCGTCCTATAAAATCAGTGGGTCATCACCGAGTTACAAGTGTCTATATCCTGAGATACTTATTTACAAAGAATCTGCTGTGAATAAAGGTCACATTACGCAAAACTGGCCTTTGTTCTTTCAGAATATAGATAATTGACCTCTATCCCAACTACAGTCCTCATCGCAAAGTTTGGAGTTTCCAATCTAGACTGTTCACAGTGGTGCATATAGTACATTTTCATGAATTGAGCATATTCCTCAATTATTTTAGTCATGACTAGTAACATGGCTACGTGGTCCTTTTGGTACCAATATTGTGATTCATCACTGAAGTACTTCAGAGCCCTTAACTCAAAAAATGTTCTCATGAAATGCATAGAATTTCACACTTATCTTAGGTAAGGCTACATTTACTGAAACTACTAAAGTAATTAAGGAAGAATATCAACCTATAGAGAAAGGAACAAAAAAGATGCCATTTTGGATGATTTTGATATATCTGCCAATATAACATGTAAAGCCTGTGTGGAGAATAAGGATCAGCTTGTAGGTGTGGCTTTTGATTTGGGCTCCAACTCAAACTACTTAAGTAAGTTGATTCTTTCTTTGCTTTGGTTTCTTCATCTGAAGATGAGGCTGCTAATGTTACCTATGTCTTAATGAGTTAATGTATGGAAAGCACTTGGAATAATGCTCAGCAAATACAGGCTCCCAGTAATGTGAACTATTATCAGTATCATGGTCAGTTATATTTACATAATAAACTTATATGAGATAAACTTAAGAAAGTAATATTTTACACCTAATTTAAATTTCTGAGAGCCATATAAATATTCAAAAGGCTTATAAATAACTGGGCTGAAGCATTTTGGATGTTTCATGAAACATGGTAGCGTGGAACATTTGTGTGGGATCATTCATAGGATTGGTTTATCTTGCCACATTTTGCTTCTCCAAGCATAACCTGATACAACTCTCATTTATTTTAAGATAGCAGACAGCCACTGGGGACAAATCTGATTTTCTGCACTTTATTTAGGCTTTCTTCTAAAGATATTTTTTGTCACAATTAATACTTCTTATTTTACTAGTACCATAGCAAAATAGTAATAAATTAATAAATTACTTAATGGATGTTCATTAATTGGATGCCACCAAGTTTATGAAAGAAAATCTGAGTGTAAGTGATTGTTTTGAAATGTAATGTTGTAAACACTTCTGTGACCATATTTTAAATTATACTATAACTGTTATTTGGCATTCAATAAGTCCATTATAGGGGCGCCTGGGTGGCTTAGTCGTTGGGCATCAACCTTCAGCTCCAGTCATGATCCCAGGGTCCCGTAATGGAGCCCCACATCTAGGTCCCTGCTCACAGGGAGTCTGCTTCTCCCTTTTCCTTTGCTCCTCTCCCTGCTCCTTCTCTCTCTCTCTCCCTCACTCTCTCTCAAATAAATAAATAAAATATTAAAAAAATAAAAAAATAAGTTTACTGTAAATAGTCTAAATCACTGATGAAAATTGGATCCATCTTTTCTTTTTTTTTATAAGCCTTTATTTTGCTATCAAATAAACCTGAAGTTAATGAAAATGTATCAATTGGAGCATATTCTATAATAATCCTATCTCAAACTTTCCCCTATTTTCCAATCTAATGAGGTTTTCTATAGTTCTGTATTATAGTATTAACATAATATTATAAATGGTCATCCATCTTATATTTTGTGTGAAAAAAACATGTTGGAAATGCACCACATGGAAACAAACTTATTCAAATATTTTTAAAATGTTTCTTGGTGACATACAGCCAACATTACTGTTGGTGGTAGTTTTTTGCTTTCCTTTTTAACAGAATTTCAGAGAATTGAAAAAATGTATATAATAGAAAAATTTTGACCTGATTATTGCGTATAGTTAATATATAAAAGCAAGAAGTAAAAATTTAGAGAAAAAAATTTTAAAGGTAAGCAGAAAAATGAAGTTACTGTAGAAACCACATTTACTCCTTGATCTTAAGCATCTGATAGCAGAGTGACAATGTGAATTAGGTCTTCCTGATGAGTTAAAGAAAAACAAGGAATTGGGAAATATTCTGGAACTCTAACAACAAAAAACTACAGTTATGAAACATTTGATATTCGTAAATAAGAATGCTTTTATTATTTTTAACTAGTTCGTTTTATAAATGGTTTTGTAGGATTAAAGTTAAATTTGGGAGTAAGTTGGCACACATTTCTTGAATTGTGTAAAATTATATTTCTAGAGTTATTAGGCCGATGCTATTTGTTGTCCTCATGTTCTGCAAGGTAATCATGAATTAATTCACAAGGAGAATTTTAGGCAGAAATCTGATATGTCACAAGTAGGAATAACTGGAGAAATGACTGGATATCTCTGAGAAGATCCTTCTGCTAAACTTTATATAATGTTATATATCCCTTTATCAGAAATCAATGCTTTCTATAAGAAAGGTGAAAAGTCCTGTAAGTCACTTACTCCATGCAAAAATGACACATTGTGTGGGGCTCCAAATGCCATAATGAAACAATGTTTTGCAAATAGGGAGCATTCATGATTATGGAAAACAATTGTCTATGGCCTATGAAAAACTCTCACTGTTCTAAAGGAAAGTCTACATATTTAAGTGATGCTTATCTTAAAACTTTATACTTTTCCTTACTTACGGTCTCTTGTCTGAGGTTAGCCATAATTTCAAAGTATTTCTAACTACAACTATTTAATTTTAGACACGCCTGTGAGGAAGATACAAGCCAACAAAAGAGTTCAAGGTAAATGTATGGGATACATGTTTTATTATGTTAAGAGAAGCCAAAGGATAGGGTTTTAATATATTTTATTGGACTTCGTTGTCTTTTAGGGAGAAAAGTTAGCAAATTTGAGGCAAAGTATTTTGATAAAAATCAGAAAAGAAATTATTCACGCTCTGCATTATTAGTAAAATCTAAGAATAACAAATGTTAAAGGAAAGGCAATTATACACATGCAAACTGCTAGATTTTTGGATGCACTGAGGTAGACTCAAGTAGAGTTAAGTTGAAAAGCTATCCATGAGTTTGAGCCATGCAAAAGTTGGTTGCTACTGAGCTTGAGCTCTCTAAACTGTTATTATTTGAGATCAGACTAAAGTCTGAAACATAAGCAAATTAATACACATAAAGAAAGTTATTAATATAACTTTATACAAAATTTTGATATAATATGTAGATTATACACATGTATGTATCACCCATGCACCATAATTTTCTTCATAACTATAGTTATGTGCATTTTCTAATCTTTCACTTAGGTTATCTTGCATTCTAACACATTAAATTATCAAAGATTTTTCATGCAGAACTTAGAACAAATTATAAGTTTGGAATGTATAAAATAATTCATATTAATAGTCAAAAGAAATCACAAGGCTTATAAATGCATTATAGACATATCTGATTTTAAGCCAGTCCCATACAGACATTTGAAATTAAAAATCAATTGCACAAATAATTTCTAACTGAAGGTTTTATCATAGAGTTCTTCTAAACATCCTAATCCATCCAAATTTTTAAAACAACTAAAATCCTCAGATTTTAAATTACTATTTTCATATACTTTTGATCAAAAGATAACCTTGATTTTATCATCATAAACAGAGGATATGACTTGGAAACATAATCTAATGTTTATTACAATAAGAAATGATGGTCTTCACAGATACAGTCATGCACAGAATACCACATTGTTAAATTCTAAAGTTTTATCACATTTACAATTTATGCATTCTCTTTTCTTCCTATCAGGATCTAGAAGACGATCAAGAGAAGGTCGTTCTCAATGAAAATTCCAGCAACCAGACAACAAAGTTTATTCAACCCTAAATGAATAACATGATTTTAAAAGAAAATTATGAGAGCTATACTGACTTCAGGAAATGAACCACCAGCACAAAAAAAGCAATCATTGAACAGTTCTGAATACAAATTTCATCTTTTTTTCTCTGAATGAAATTGTGGGGTTAATCTTCTGTAGGATAGAAACTGAAGGAAATAGAACACCTTGCATACAGGTTTTTATATCTTGAAATTTAAAATTCTGGCTAACTTTGGAATCCACCAAAGAAAATTCTTGTCAATGGATTTATTACAATTTAAATCTCATATTCCATTGAGAAGATTGAGCCTTGAATCTAAGAGATAGATAAAATGTATGCAAGCAGGTACCTCTCATGAGAAACTAAGTTATAAAAATGGGTGCTCAGTATTAAAAAATAACAAAACTTTTACTTCGAAAGGCTTTGCACATTTCTAATACAATGTGGGTTTACCAGTAAATTATGTTATTTCTACAACCAATTTTGTACTCTTGAAATGTTTGTCATATGCTTTTTGCAATACATATTTTTTATCTCAAACATTTCAATAAAACATTTTCTTTCAGTTATAAACAGAAATACTTTAAATTGGGTAGTTCAGAAAACTCAAGGTTTAAATTAATAAGTGGTTTGGACTTGGGAACAGGACTTTATACCTCTTTTTTTTTTATAGCAAATACTCATTAAAGGAGATTGAATGAATTTAGTGTTTCTTGAATTTTTAAAACTCTTATGTTATATAAAGAATCATTACACAACGAAGTAATCATTAAACTCAAATGAGTGCCTAATATAACCCAGAATTGTGCTAGCTTGTGAGAATCTAAAACATGAATCAGACAGTTATTGCCCTCAAAGAATAAAGAGACAAATGTCCAATAATTCACAATGCACCATGAGCTATAGTAGAATGAATGGTACTACACAAATATAGCAATCAATTTTTCCTAGGCTTTTGCTAGATACAGAAAAAGCCCTTAACTGAGACTGAAGTAAGAGTAAAGTAAGACTGAATGTAAGAGTCCATTGCATGGCAAAAGAGGGTAAGAAAAATATTTGTTTGCAGAGAAACAAGAGATCAGTTGATCTAGTCAGATTTCAGCAAGTATCAAACATCACTTGGTCTAACTGAAATAAAGGCAATCAGGGAACAGAATCCATACTGAGGAGAAAGTGAGTGGTAACGGTATAATAAAATTATACCATGCTTATAAAACTGAGGAAGGCCAAACTGAAGGTATCAGTCTGGATCAGAGATGTCCAGATTGGATGAGAGACTCAGTACTAAAGTACCACTAAAGGATCTAGAGATTTTTTTGAGTAGGTGAAAGCACTGTGTCTTTGAGATGCAATCAGGATGAGGAAGTAAAATAGAAAATTCTGGCAGTGACTCTTACTGAGGGAGTGCTCAAAAGGTTTGGTTTTCCAGAATGCTTTCTACTCTGGGACAGTGGTGAGATTTATGTATAGCATTTTAAGCCCTAGCCAGGAAGCAAAATGTCCTAGCAGCTCACTACTCCTATAGAGCATTTGGGACTTCAGTCTCAACTGGAAGTGTGTGGCCATGATCATCCCAAAGTGATTCAGAGGAAGTGGTTATATAAGGTGGTACTGGTAGAATATACTAAACCATCCTCAACAAAGACAACCATTCCAGATGGCATGTTTGTCATGATCCTCTAGAAGATCCCAAGATAATTACATAAAACAAGTGTAGTTTGGCTTATTCCTTTAGCACCCTTCAAGGTATTCATTTGATGATGAGCTAGGTGTTCCAGAGTTGGACTTTGAATATGGTAGTCCAGTATGATGGCAATGAGGTTAAAGTCTTTTTAAAGACTGCTAATTTTAATGTCCTGCCTTTTTAATTTTTTTTTAATTGAACCAAGGTTGAAAAAATAAGTCAGTTTTGGTTAGTACACATACAAAGATCTAGCATAACTCTCTGATAAAGGAGAGAGTTTCAAATGACCCATGTAAATATAGTTAACGATAAAATTTAAAGAATTATTAACAAAATATAAAGACAATACTACAAATAAAAAACAAGATTTAAAATATATGAAAAAATAATTTTAAACCCCCAAAGTAAAAATTTAAAAGTAGATATATGAATAAATAATATAATAAATCCTACTCAAATACTTTCTATAAATTGAAGAGGCAGAATAGTAGTAAGTGCTTTTACATTCAACATTGAATCCTTTAAAAATTCTAAGTTTTGTTATCTCTAGTTTTATATGAAAAAATGAGTCCCAATTAGTTTATGTAACATTTTTTGCCTTGTAATCTTAAAACATGCCATCAATCAACTTGCCACATGTTCATTACCCAACAAGTACAAACCTGGGTTAGAGCAAACATGATTGTTTTCACAATTGTGCTGACTCTGTCTTACCTGATTTCAGCTCTTTCTAATCATCCTCTGCATAAGTGGCATACAGGTTTCAGCATTAAGACTTAAGATTGCAGTTTCAGATAAGTCTTCCTAACAGTCTCCAAGAAACATCTACTTTCTGTCACTCTAGATAATGGCATTTTCTAAACTTTTATTTAAATTGAATCACACAGTATGCATGGCTTCTTTGTCTGGCTTTCCCTTCTTTGGAATTCTATGTGGGAGTGGAATGATAGGACCACACAGAAGGTATATGATTAATGTTTTTAAGAAACTGCCAAACAATACCCTAAAGGAGTTCTACTATTTTAAATTCTCACCAGAAGTATATGGGAGCTCTGATATCTCTTGGCAACACTTGATATGGACAATCTTTTTAAATTTTACATATTCTACCAGGTGTGTAGTGGTATCTCATGTGGTTTTAATTTTCATCTCCCCGATGTATGCTTTTCATGTGCTTATTTGACATTTGTATATATTGTTAAGTATCTGTTGAAATCTTCTGCTAATTTTTAATTGGGTGTTTTGTTTTGTTTTTTGAGGTTTCAGAGTTTCTCCCAGTATGTGGCTTATCTTCTCATTCTCTTAGCAGTGTTTTTGAAGATAACAAAGTTGAATTTATCTTATTTTTTTCTTTTATGGATTATGTTTTTGGTGTCATACCTAAAGAATCTTTTATTAACCCAAGTTCACAAAAAATTCAGATCTGTTTTCTTTTAGAAACTTTATTATATTTAAGTTTTACACTGAGGCATATAATTCATTTTGAATTAACTTGTGTTTATGGTACAAGGTATGAATTAAAGTTGAGTTTTTTCCTATTTTTTTTCCCTTTAGATAGCCAATCACGATAGCAACATTCCTTAAAAAGATTATTCTTTGTCTACTGATACACTTTTATATCTTTGTCAAAATTCCATATATTTATGAATCTCTTTCTATTTCCCTTCTTCTTTCTATTCTGTTCTATTGATCTATTTGTCTATCTTAACTGAAACACCATACCTACTAGATTAGTGTCATTTTAAATATGTCATAAAACCAGGTAGGGTTTGTCCTCCAATTTTGCTCATCTTTTTTCAAAGTGGATTTGGATATTTTAAGTTATTTGCATTTCCACATGAATTTTTAAATCAGCAAAAAGGTATCTGCTGAACTTTGACTTGAGATTGTATTGAATATATGGGTCAATTTGAGGATAATTGGAATCTTTATAACAGTCTTCAAACTATGAACAAAATACATCTCTCAGTTTATATAGCTCCTTTAATTATCTTACCAATTTCTTACCAATGTTTTATTATCTGATGTACAGGTCTTGCATTTCTTTTGTAGATTCTTCTTAAGTACTTAATATTTATTTTTTAAGATATTACCAATGGCACTGATTTCATTTCAATTGCTGATTATTTTCTGTGCATTGATCTTGTATTCAGCAATCTTGTCAAACTCACTTATTTCTAGTAACTTTTTATAGATTACATCATATTTTCTACATTGACAATCATGTTGTCTGCAAATGAAGGCAATTTTACTTCTTTTGCAATCTGGATGCCTTTGATGTTTTCTTGCCTAATTTCATTGGTTGATGATGAATAGTAGTATAATGTTGAAAGGAAGTGTCAAAAGTGACCATTCTTTTTCTTCATGATCCTTAAATATTCACCCAGTTTTTTAACCTTAAGTATGATGTTTAATTTGATATTAGCAACTCTGTTTTCTGTTTTTTCATAGATATCCATTATGAGGTTGACAAAAACACTTTCTATTCCAAATTTGCTGAGAATTTTTTATCAGGAATGAATTTTGGATTTTACCAGATGATTTTTTCTGTACTTTTTGATAGGATCATGTAGGTTTTCTTTTTAGTTTGTTAATAGTTTGTCAGTTAGATGGATGTAATTTTGAATATTAACTCCTCATCCCATCTATTTTCTTCATTCTAGGAAGAATCCCACTTAGTCATGACATATTCAGAATGTGAAAGTTTTGTTAAGCATTTTTACGTGTATGTTCATGAGGGATACTTGTACGTCATCTTCTTTTATTGCAATTTTCTTTGTCTGAGTTTGGTATCATAACATTGCAGTCTTCACTAGATGAATTGGGAAGAATTCTCTTCTCTTCAGTTATTAGAAAGTGTCCGTGTAGGGCGCCTGGGTGGCTCAGTGGGTTAAGCCGCTGCCTTCGGCTCAGGTCATGATCTCGGGGTGCTGGGATTGAGTCTCGCATCGGGCTCTCTGCTCAGCAGGGAGCCTGCTTCCCTCTCTCTCTCTCTCTGCCTGCCTGTCTGCCTACTTGTGATCTATCTCTGTCAAATAAGTAAATAAAATCTTAAAAAAAAAAAAGAAAAAAGAAAGAAAGTGTCCGTGTAGAACGGATAAATTTCTTTCTCCTTAAATGTTTAGTAGAATTCTCCAGTGAAGACAACTACTATTGAAGCTGACCCAAAGAAATGGAAAGACATTCCATGCTAATGGATTGGAAGAACAAATGTTGATAAAATGTCTATACTACTCAATCTAAAGATTTAATACAACCCCTAAGAAAATACAAACTCCAACTTTAAATAGGAGCAATCTACTACAAAATACTCATCATAAGAAAAGCCAGATGGGAAAATGTTGATGGGATGCACATAGATCTATCAAAGTAACAGAAAAGGATTTTAGGATAAAATATCTTAGAGCCAGTATCATTGCTATACAATGTACACATGTACTCACACAGAAACCAATGAGAAATGATCAAAAGGAAATAGTAGTTGAATTTTATTTACTGACATTTCTATTGTATGTATCTGAAAAACTATTTCTTTTCATCCATAAACCCCCAAAATAATAGTTTTTAAAAATTTAAGCATATCCAATTTTCTTGAAAATAGGCTCATTGTCCTCACTTCTGTGGGGTCTTTGGAAGGTTTTACATAACATCTAATAAATATGCATTGATTTCTGCAGTCTGATGAGAAAAGACTGGTAATTTTCTAACCAACTTACATTCCAAAAACAACAGTTGGAAAATTAGACCATATGTGAATAAGGCTGTTAGATGACTTTCACTTTTTGTACTAATGCAATTAACTAATGCATTTCCTAAACTTTTATGAAGTCTCACAAAAAGCTATGGAAACACAGAAAAATATGAAAAATAAAAAGTAATCACGGAGTTCTATGAAAGACAAATCAAACAATTCCCTAATTACAAACTTCAGGTGATTGACAAGAACACTCAACTTGAAAATATAAGAAATATAAGAAATACCCCACGTGAATTAAAAATAAAACTGAACAGAAATAGGAT